GGTATTCCATAACTCGAGAACGAGTGCACCGAATAAAATGATTCTTTTTTGTTGTGTTCCTTAGTGCAACACGTTAGGAAAATTACGTTTTTACGTAAGGAAATTTATAATCCATCCAATTGTTATTTAGTAATTTGATTTATTTTAAATTAAATAAACAATTGCCTTTGCACGAGCATTTGAGGAAAATGTTTTCATTAAACTGTGGGATACAAGAACATGTTTTAATTTTCAACAAAACTGTGAGTGAGCGTAGCGAAAGAACTCCAACCAAAAGGTAAGTGAGTAGTGATCGTAGCGAACGAACTTCAACAAAGACGTGATTGAATCTTGAAAATGAACGATCATTTGACATAAAACTTGGCTACATTAGGACAGGACGACGTCTGTCGGGCCAGCTAGTAATATATATTAATAAGACAACTATAGACAATAATTAAAAAAGTGCATAGCCTGTGAAAGCAACTTGAAGCTCCGTCGAGCTCCGTCCACTGCCACAGATGCCGTTTTGAAAGCAGGTTTATTTGTAAAAAAATCATTAAGTGTTTTACAATATTTTTTTTATATGAGTTGAGGTTTAGTATTGGGGAAACAACTCGCCCTCTCTTACAGGGAATGCCGTGACCTTAAAGGGTGACATTTAAAGAGTGCTCTGTACTGTAGAACCCCAAACAACACTCACCCTAAGATTAGGCACGTGTCCGTGACGTAAAAGGCAAATGTTTTGTAACAGATTGTGAGTTCCACCAACCTTAAGGTTATTTAAAGCTTATAAGCTATGTAACAATTAAATTTGCTATCGATTTCGACCAATTACTCCTGTCATCGCCAAATCTGAGACGGTGCTGAAATATATATATATTTTTGTATAACGTCTAATAAATAGCTAAATAATACGATTAAATTTCGATTACTACTGAAATACGACTTTTATCATCCGTATACATTATTTTTAATAGTGCTTTACACGTTTGGAAAATATTTGTTTCTGTCCTAGGCCGTATTTTTTTTTTTAATTACTTCAGGATAGACCTAAGGGCGTGGCTTTATCGGTTAGATCCAACCAATTGGTGGTTGGTGGGTTTTGAACCCAGAACCCCGGGGATGAAGTCCCACGCTCTACCACTACACAAGCTCGTTCCCCCCTATGTTTATGTTTATGCAAATATTAGAAAACATATGAGTGATCAACGAATAGACTACTTAGTCAACGGCTTAGTCACACCACTTGGAAAATGACCATGATATCAAGAATTCTAATTCCAAGAGTTCCAAGACTTTTGATTTACTTAGTCAGTTCAGGATTCGTGTGAATCTCCGACACGCATCTCAGATGACACCTTAAGTTCTCACAGACCTCGTAAATGACAAATGCAAGGTGGTTTTCTCATGCGTTTTAGCGGAGGATTTTCTGCAGTAAAAACGATTTTCATTTAATGTTTTGTTAGTTAAACCTACTTATGGATTCTCAATCATCGTACCATGACATTATCTGAATGCTAAAACTCATAGCCGTCATGATGGATCAAAAACTAGAACTGAAGATCCACCACTAGAGTAGCGAAACCCATTTGCAGGCTTGAACAGCCGATAAACTATTGACCATAAAATGCATTTAAGGACGCAATAGCCTGCAAGGGTCGAAGGGTGCAGCAGTTAGTTTATGTTGAAGCTGCAGCTGGAGAAAGGTCTGTGAAAGTTAGGTTGCGTCAGTCTTCTGTCCTCGGCACTTTCACGCCCCCGAGGAGCAACCGAGGTCGCGTCTGTACACAAACACACCAAGTACACAAAGATAGCAATCACGTTTACCATAGAGAAGTAAGGTGACATACTTTACTCAAACATACGAATACTTACAAACGCGTTTCCAAAACGGGCGTTACAAAATAGCGTACAAAATCCCAACTTTCACCTTTTCGCTTTTCAATTAAGTTTGAAATTCTGCATTATCATGTTTACGTTGGTAGATGTCAAAATATTATGTTAGAAAGTATTGCAATTAGTCAACAGCTATGAAATGTATACAAGAGGTTAGGTTACCTTGATTCTGTCCAAGTAATCCTTTCAGTCGTCATTACTTCGACAGAATCTTAACCTCTTGTATACAACTCATGAAGTAATCTGGAAGACAAAATAAAGCTATGAAATGGCGATTTGGCATAGAATTGGTTCTTAGAATCGAAAAATCTTTTGGATATGTAGGACTATGACCTCTCGGCTACCTCTATAAAACACAATGTTTTGGAAAATAAATATGCATGCAGTGAAGTTAAACAGTTTAACTCGCGGTGGAAATTTATTTTAAGTGAACAATCACACAAACGATAAAACCGTCCCTAACACACCTGCTTCCCTACATAATAGCAGTAATCCCAACATGAAAATAGGAATTGCCTTGTTTTAATATTGATTTTGGATACTGAACCACGCATTATTGTGTGTCCATTATAGCATAACCTAGATTGAAGTTATATTATGTTCTATAACATAGGTAGGTAGGTTTTGATAATATTTAATGTATAAGACAGGCATAAAATGTGTTATCGTAAACTACCCTTATCGCTGTTATTCTCTTGCGTTCAAAACTATGGTAAGGTAAAAACGTAGGTCACAAGATTTACAGTTATAGTCTGTATGGTGGAACCTGTCTCCCGACCCTGGGCTACCTGGAGACTGGATAAAAGTTTATGCTCGTGACAGTCTCAGATAAATGATGGGTCAAGAGCCAGGTTACATCATACAAACTATAATAAATTATCTTTCTGCAGGCACACACTGTCGGTCGCTCTTTTGAACGATTATATAAAGAAAAATCGAAACCTGCAAATTACTTTAACAAAGGGGTGGAGTGTTTGTTTTATGGTACAGTAGACACCCTCTTATCCGGACTCCTTGAGACCGAGGCCAGTCCGGATAACGGGTTTTCCGGCTAAGCCGACATCCCCAAAAACTCATTAAAATGAATCATTTACGGTGATATTCGATTTAAATTTAGGAGAGCATTGTATTTAGACATGTGATCACTGGTCTCAAATCTTTCCCACGAGAACAGTCGTTACAGTACCACCCACTTCCTGCCGATCTAGTCCGGTTAAACCAATGTGCCGATAATAATTGTCCGGTTAAAGAGATGTCATTTCCGTCGACTGTCCGGTTAAACCGATGTCCGGTTAAAAGGTGTCCGGATGAGAGGGAGTCTACATAGCAAAAGTGCAAATATTTTCACCAGTGTAGTAGTTGTGTTAAAAATATTTTTTTACAAACCGTTGATACGTCACGAATTTGATAGAACTCAAGTAACAAATAAAATTCCCTTTACTGTAGAGGGTTCAAATTAGTGTACTATCACAATAGGCATTCAATATACTGCAGTGTATTCGGAGCTTTTATTGGACATTCCTCCTTGGTAGAATGTAGAATCATAGAATATAGAATGTTGTTGCTGGCCCAACACAAACATGTCAGACTACCTATCTTTTAAAAATTTACTACAAATACGTATACTAGCCCAATCTTTTTTAGATAGCTTTCTTTCCTTGCGAGTTGGAATAAAACAATAAGTCGGTAATGCCGTTTTGATTACAAATTTCTTTCATATAATCGTAAGTATTGTCATTAATGTTGGTTAATTCAATACATTTGCAATGAGTTCATAACCATGAGACTCCTAGGATTACTATGAGTCTGTTCCTGTTTTATTATTTATGTTTTGTAAGTTTTGAATTGTTGCTTTGTGAGAAATGTGCGTTGAGTTCCACGGAAACAAAATGGAAAAAAGACAATATTTATTTCCGTTAAAATTTTTCGAAATCTACTAAACAATAGTTTCAAGTAGTTCATTACCAAAACTAAAGATATTTTAATAATAACAATTTACAGCTAAAAAAACAAGAATTATGTTTCTTTGTGAAGCTATTAATTATAACCAATTCCGAGCTAGAACCTAGAAAAAAACCTCTTGAATAGAACTAACATTTCTTGTTAAGCATTGTTCTAAATTGTCTCATCACTATATGCTTAACGTTGACACGTTATTAAATTCAACCAATTAATAACCCGTTGATTAATGACGACAGTGCACAGATGAGATACGCGTGATCGAACGGTCCTTTGTTATAAATTAGGAAAGTATAATTGAGTTTTAAAATTTATTAGTTCAAATCATAATAAATTTAGAAATTTGTTAACACTATTTTCAGGCGTGTTCCCACACTTTGGAAATTACTGTACAATAACTGTATTACTACAGTTTAATAAATATTGCGAATAATGTTTAGGCAATTGCAATATTATAAACATATAATGCTGATGACTTTGATTTTGTTTCACCTCTGTCTTTGAGAATCAACGTAGGTCCTATATTTAGATGACTGATTTCTCTGGTAGCTCAACAAAAATGCTATTTAAGAAATTGAAACGGACATTTTCCGTCAAGATTCATTGGTGGACAAAATAGTTTTTAACACAATAAATTTTATCAGTTGAGTCAGGAATGTTATTTGATGAACAATACAGTTATGCCGGACGGGCCGACAGTCGATTCTGTTGTTAATTTATTGAGTTAGAAACACTTAATCCGATCGCATACGCATTGTTGTCGTTGCTTAGCAACCTAAACAAAAGAATTCAGATTTTTGTACCAATCAATTTTGTTAATTGCTCGACAGTTAATTAATTAATTATTTTTCCATTTATAATTTAGCTTCTACCTTAAAGGGTGGAAATAATGATAGTCACAACTTGTCCGAGGACCTTTTCCAAGCTGTCTTTTGTCATTTTCCGAGTGAAAACTTGAGATAAAATTTTAAAGGCTACAATCAGTAACTTTTAAATCTTGATGCCTATATTTTTTAAAATTGGAAATACACCAAATTTCTCCTAATATAGAAAACTAACTACATATGGAAAGGGCAATTTCAGCTAAGCCTAAGAAGGACATAACTAGCCCTTTTTATGTCTACCGAATGATTAATTTGTTTGGAAAGTCTTTCCAGACTTACCTTTGGTCTTTTCCAGACAAACTGGAATGGCGGAGTCTGATGGTAGAACACTGAGGTTTGGGTGGCGGGAAACTCGGGGTCTTCCCATAGTTCTCCGCGCTTCAAACACCCGCGTTTTATACGCTCGAAGTCGCTCATCTGCAAATAAAAATAAAATAAAATATGAGTTGTTAATCAGGTGGATAACAGCAGCTCTGATAAATATATAATACCTGGGGACCAAGCTTTGCTCGGGGGAAAATTATAGTATACTCTAATAGAGGTCTCTGCTCAAAGTCATTTATCCAAATCTTCTTTTACAATCCATCTGGTGCAGTTATACTGGAATTGACTGTGTTTATGTAAGCAGCAGTAAGATATATGCATATCTTATAGAATGGGCCTAGAAAAATGGTCCATCAGGGCGTTTTTGAAGGAATAATTCTCAAACAAATCGGTACGTTAAGTACCATTCACATCCAAGATAAACATTAAATTTGACAGTTTGATAAATAGAATATTAATTCTTACTGCCTATTAACGCCCATTAAACACATAAAAGCGTTTCCTCTTTATTAAACAAAGAGTTTATTGAGTTTTATGTTCTAGGACATTAGGATCTAGCCCGGAATTGTTTTTTACATTACTTCAGTCTAGACCTATGAGTTTCGGTATCATCACTTAGATCTATTGGTGATTGGCGGGATTTGAACCAGGGGACTCAAGTACCGAGCGCCTCTACCTCTAGACCAGCTCGTTTCCTATAAGTTTGTTGGGTAACTCCAAATAAAGTACAATATCACGTGTTATGTACGATTCATGCAACTTCTCATAGAGAAAACTTTCTTTTATATTCTCACCACTTATTAAATGTCACAAGATTTGTTTGTTACGTAAAACTCAACTTTTAAATCTAAACAAAGGCGTATGTGAACCAAATAACGCAATTCTCGACATTGCGTGAAAACACACTCGTATATTTCTCCTTCCTAGTTCTTGTTTCACATTAATGCTCTCATTCCCTTTCAAATTACCCATCCTGGGAAGTAAGATGTAGTTCAGTACTTCGTAAATATAAAACTACATCACCTGCACAGCTCCTGAACGAAATTAACTCCTTTACTTCGCGTACTGAGCAGAAACTAAACAAAGTTACCCTTTTTCTTACTGAGACATAGATATATTTTATTCATGAATAAAGTAGTCTATTAAACTTTGAAAACAAACAATTGATAAGTTTGTCTATTTCTATAAAATAATGATACAGAATATAAGAAGAAACTAAACCGCATTACCTGTATACATCTTAGTAAATATTTAAAAACAATTTTTTCAGAAGCTGGCCTAATTTTTTGTGTGTTTTCTACAAATGTGTCCCGACTTACCCATAACTGTTACCAGTAAACATTTCTTGCATGTATTCATTTGATCTGACATCAGGCAAGTTTACTTTACCACCGTGACAACACATGTATGTATTCTTTGTGCATTCTTTTACTTCAAAAGTTGCATAACAGAACTGGCAAATATTATTCATCACTCCAATTAAGTGTGTATTAAGTTTCCTTACTGTTAGACCAGGCCTCTCTTCTTATACTCTTTTCATCGCATAAGATCCCTTATTAATTGTCCCTTCCTCCCGTTTTAAATACTTCTTCTTTGAACTCGAGGCGTTTTCTACACTTCCAAGTCTTCCAACAAAATTGAATAACTGTTTGCATTGGTCTATAACCTCCTGAATGTTACAAACATCAATATTTACTCCCGAAAAAGATGCTGAATTTCGTTTTATAAACAGCTGTTTTTTGTGTTTACATTTGTTCTCTGTATCCAATAGGTAATGGTAATACCAAAGGTAATACTTTTGACATGGTAAGATTATGTTTTATCTATGGTAATACTTATTGGATAAAACTACCTTTGAGAACGCCTCGTACCCTCTCAATGAATCTTTAAATTCTAACCTTATTGCAAAACTACAAATTCAGACGAATTTGTTGACACATCAAACGTTGAAATTAGTCCACAAATAATGGAGGATTAGTGTTCACAAAACAAGGCTTCACGTATTATAGATAATTCAAGTATTATAGGTGTGGATTAGTATCAGGTAAAACGATCCATTTAAAATAATGTGGCTTAACTTTAGTAGGCATATACGTTTAAAACTGACGTACTCATTACGATTTCTTTAAAAATTTTCGAGCACTAGAGCAGAAAACGCACATTTCCAACACAGGTTGATATAGAATCGGAACAGAACGATTTTGTTTATTCAATGGCTTTCCCAATGGGGCTGGGGGATTGGACGGTTGAGTCGAAATTGATTACCTTTCCCCATCGAGATATTTAACCTGATGTAAAAAATAGCAATTAAATTTGTCCCAAAGGTGGGTTTTTTATCTAACGAAGCGGTTGAAAATAAAACAATTACGTTGGTGAACAGGTTATCTTTTCTACATTTATTTACACTAGTTCTTGAACGTATGCGGTTGCTTGACATTTTCAAAACTGATTCTTACTCCATTAATCATTTCTATGAAAACCCAACTCCAGGTAGTGCATGGAGGTCATGGGTTCAAATCCCACCAAACAAAAAATGCAATAAACTTTACGGTATTATTTGAGGCACGATTTTTCGGAGAGGATATACATTTTTAATACTTTAATACTTTTCAAATTAAGGTGTTTGTTCACCTATCTAGAGTGTAAAACAGGATAGGTAATTTTAGCGTTGGATGTCCTTGCAGCCTAATAGACAACCTTCCATATAATAGATATTGATAACATTCTTTCATATGTTACTAAAAACCAAAACACAAAATATCAAGTTTGAAACATAAATTTAATCTTTAAATCCAGCTAAACTAGGAACGGTGAACATTTTACAGTACGCAAACCATTGTAAGATGTTTTATTAGGATTTTGTGTATAACAGGATTCCAAGCAAAATAAGACAAAAGACATTCATCAGTACAAAAATTTTGTCCACCCTCAATAGATTGACATTGCTGTGCGTTTACAGTTATAATGATAAAACCTATTCGTGCTTCATAGGCGATGCGTTGAAAATCACGTTTCCTTGAATAATATTGTAATAATCGACGATCGTGCTGTCCAGACAGCGGTCAACTAATGGTTGTCACATTAGAGCAGGAAGGATAATCCTTAACGTTTTACAAATCATGGTCCTGGATCAATTCTAAATCTTGAATGTTCATTTATTTTTCAAAGAATTAGCACACATCACTCAATGAAAGACAGAAGGACAATTTCAAAGAATACATTTTCTAAAGCGTTAAAATAACTACAGTAATTTTAACAATTAGGTTAATAAATGGGATTGAAAACAAAATTTAAAACATGTTTAACTACGTAACTATGATTGATTTAGTAACAATATTGTGCACAGTGGAAAATATATATTGCGAATCACGTAAAAAACTGCAAAAGAAATTGTAGTGGGATATAAACAGGTTTGAAATATACAATGCTGGCGCAGCGTTTCAAAGTTATAAAATTCGAAAAAAAAAGTTTTAAATTGTCAAGTAAAACGCAAATATTCTCAAACATAGTTGTTTTCAAAATTTTTAAAAAGGCGATATTTTACAAAAAAGTTTTCCCTATGGCGTTATGTACAAACCACAAATATTCTATACAAAACAGGATTCAGAACTCGGGAACACAAACAGGGATATTCTGTACTGATCGCATTAGAATACAATACGAGCAAAACAGACAGTTACCCGTGCATGCCCATATCTCCAATTTGGCTTCCACAGCTGACGACAATCTACAATCTGGTGAACGACATTTTGTTAATCATAGCGCAAACAATTCTGAAACGTGAATAATACTGAATCAGTTGCTAGTTACTAACAAAAATAATGTTTATGAAGGGATAATTTTTTTAGCGGAGTGAATCTGTTGGAGTGTGTTTTTCTGCCATGTTTTTGTTGATTTTGGAAATACAGCCAGATTTTGTGACATACGTACCAGTCCGTTAAAGTATTATAACATATAAAGGAGTCCCGCGCTTGAAACACCAGTAACAACCATGCATGCGGGTAGTTTGAATTATTGATTGATAGAAATTAGCTTCATAGCCAAAGCTTTTTTGGCTATTGTTAATGAGCTACAACCAAACGATTTAACTGGCTGGAGAGGACATGGTCGTAGAACAGCCTCAGTCCAGTGGGGTTTCGGCTCCCTGGGGCCATAGCCTCAGTCCAGGGGGTTTCGGCTCCCTGGGGCCATAGCCTCAGTCCAGGGGGTTTCGGCTCCCTGGGGCCATAGCCTCAGTCCAGGGGGTTTCGGCTCCCTAGGGCCATTTTCATAATAAAGTACAAACTAATATTATTAGTAAATCAGCTGATCGCCCAATGCAAATCTAATGGAAATTACAAGCTACAAGTTGTAACTTGTAACTTGTAACTTGTAGTTTATTATGAAATGGGCCCCTGGACTGAAACATCACGAAACACACACCAAACGACACAAACAAAACCCACTACCTATTGGAGAACATCACTAATAGACGTGATAGTGTTTGCTTGATCTCACTGCAATGCTACAACAACTACTTAATTAGTTATTGACTTGATAAACAACGGCAGCTGTTTCAAATCACTATGTTGTATGTAAATATTGACGGATCAGTAATGGAGTGAACTTCGCGATCTGTCAATAAAGCCGTGTTTTCTTTGAGCGAAAAAACAACGTTTGTTTGTCTCCGGAGAGTTTATCCTATTGGATTTGTAAAACCAAATTGCAATTCCGCCACTCTGAATATACAAGTTGATACAATCGGTCAATATTTAAAATTCCCGCACCTTTGACGTTTTGCTTTGAAATTTATTTTATTTGTGACCTGGTCTGAATTATTTTCTAATAAACGTTTTAACGATTTTGTGCCAATCTTTTTGATTGACGTTATAGTGACACAGCGGATCCCTAATTTATAAGTTTTCATCCGAATTTTTCAAGGTTTTCATTGAAAGATTTTAGGGTTCATTTTATTTTTTACTTCAACACCAAATCCTTCTTTCTTTTTATAGGGAAACAATACAAACATAGGTCTTGTCTGTGTCAGGAAATTGCTGACACATCATTGAACTTTCAATTATTCGGTCTGAATGGAGACCCAATTAGACCGGATG